ATTGTAATCTTAATTGATCTCACAATAAAATCCACGCGTGTATCGCAACTTAGCCCTTAAAAAAAAAAAAAAAAAAAGAATTATTTTAATTATCGTACGTATTTATAGATTTCAATTATTAATTAAAGATTAAATAACGTTATATATTAATACTATACTGTATAATTTAACGATTTCATTAATTCTCATGATTTGTTTTTTTTTTTAAAAAAAATTAAAATTCGATTTTCGATTTCGATGATAACTTAACGTTCACCCATTTAACCTATTTCCCCGTTTTATTTTATCTAAAAATAACCACTTACGCAAATTAAATAAAGAATTTTCATTATATGCAATTCTTTATATAAGGCATATTATTATTACAAAGTATCTTTGTTTGTTTCTTTATAATGTACATACGGCATCGAATGCGATAAATGTGAAAATCATTTAAATCATTCGATATGCTATATATGTAAGTATAATTAATATTATTATAGTTTTAAGTAGCGATCGCGCGTTTATATTGCAAAGCTTATTTCATCTCGTGTGTTTAAAATAAACCTTGATATTACGAAATCATCAGCAACGTGAAAAGTCATGAATTTATGAAATTTGAAATTGATCATCCGACACCTTTGGTATTAAAAAATCTATTGATTTAATGGAACTTTCAAGTTTGCGACTCTATTGTGGCTTAAAAAATTGCGACTTCCTTTATTCGATATATCGAGTACTAAGTTTTTTTTTATAAAAATTTGATTTTTTTTTTAAAAAAATAAATAAATAAATAAAACAAATAAATTAGGTAATGGACTGATTTGTAATAGTATTTATTCATTTTAACACATTTTTTTTTTGCAGCTACACAATTCGTAACAAATTTAGCCTGCTATTCTATTTTTTTTTCTCCGATTGGAATTTGACCTAAAAATAGCATTTGCTTTTCACTTATGACCAAATTTGGCCATACTATGTTTAGAAGGTCTTGGTGGGACAAATTTGTCAAACTCTTTTATCCAACGAGTCGAATTGTGGGCAATGTGCTATAAAAAAATCGAACTTGTTTTCACAATTAAATCCCTGTACCACGTTTATATAGTTTTTGCGATCGTTTTCTTTATTTGCGTTCATGGTTCAAGTTAACATCCGCTCGAATTATAACCTCTTTTCGACATAGAGCGATAACTTTTTTTTAGATTAGATTTCAAAAAAAATGGGCGATCGTAACGAAACAACGCCAGACGAGGCTAATGCGAACAAGGCAAATTTCACAACTTGTGCAAAGTGTGGTTTGCTAATTGTAGGACAATTTGTAAGAGCATTGGGCGGCACTTACCATTTAGAATGTTTTAAATGCCAGGTAAAGTCTAGTTTTCGTTTTCTAATTCGTTATAGGGGTTGCAGAAAGTGACATCCCTAAAATTTACATTTCGCACATATTCACTTAGGACTGCGGGGCCATCGTAGCGTCGAAATTTTTCCCGATAGAAGGTGCAGATGGAAAGCAACAGCCTCTATGTGAACGAGACTACTTTCGACGTCTTAGCCTCATATGCGAGAATTGTGGTGGTGCTCTAAGGGGATCTTATATTACAGCTCTTGATAAAAAATATCACATTGAACACTTTACTTGTTCTGCATGTCCAACAGTATTTGGACCCCAGGATTCATACTATGAACATGATGGAAAAGTATATTGTCACTATCATTACTCCACGCGATTCGCGGTCAAATGCGCGGGGTGCCAAACAGCAATTTTGAAGCAATTTGTGGAGATTAACCGAAATAACATTGACGAACATTGGCACCCTGAATGTTATATGATACATAAGGTAGATTTTTTATTTTAATATCTTTATTTGGGGGTCATGATATTTTGCGTAGTTCACCGGATGTATATTAATTGGACTTTATCCAATTAAAATCGTGACCTAGTTTTGGAACGTGAGGCTTTCAACACGTACAGACGATGATCAGGATGCCGAAATTGGTAATTATTATTATTCCTCGAAAATTTTATCGGCATTAGATTGTTGGTCTCACAGATTTATATTTTAATATCAAGACGAACCTTGCACTGTCGTCGATACAAAAATATCACCAGAAGAACTCAAGCAACAGCAAAAGGAAATGGAGGATAAAGTCTACAATATATGGACAGTACTTTCGGCCTTCGAAGAAATGTCAGCTAACTGTATCTCCGATATGCTGCTTCATGTGTCAAATGGTTTATACTCTGAAGGCATGAAAATGTCGGAAAGATTTGTTAATCACGTGGAAGTTTTATTTTTTGCAATTGATGACTTGGAAGTTAGATTAGTGCGTGCAAGTGGTCAAGGTAACATGATTAAAGTAAATAAATAAGTAAATAAAATAAAATCTTTATTTATACTCACCTTTCGATAGGTCTCCAGTACCACAGGGAAGCCAAAATGCTTTGCAAGAAAATAGATAATTTCTTTTCCTTGTTGTCAGATGCTCATAAAAGCGGAATTGTAAAATTAGGAATCTCGCAGGATCTTCTAGCATTAGTGACAGGATTGGCGCAATTTTTGAAAGTTCTAATAAGAATAGCGCTGACCGGTGCCTTGAAATTGGTGAATATCTGCTTTCTTACGTCTCTGATTTTTTACTCGATATCCAATGAAATTTCTTTTTAACTCATGCGATCGTTGGAAATTAAGGAACGTGATTTTAATGATAAGACTGCAGTTTCGCATTTTCTAAACAAACTGGGAGAATTCACAAAAAAAAAAGGTACACAGAGTCAGGAAGAAAACATAGATAATGAGATTTCATCTGATCTATGTCATGCATGTCGAATCGCCGTTGAAGAAGAATGCTATAAATACGGACCTCACCGTTGGCACATTGGTTGTTTAAGGTGCTCTGGCTGCTCACGAGAATTGCGTACCATCTATCGTGAGGCTACCTTTAATCAGGTAACGGAGATGGCGTACTGCCCGAATGATACGAATGAACAAGCCGCACCCGGATTTAAGCATGTTACTCAATTGGAGCAATACGTTTATTTATTGCGAGTTGTCTTGATGAATCTTAATAATCAGCTTAGACAAGGTGAGCTAAAAGTTTCGCATAGTGTGTTCCTTTGATATCGCTGATTATCTCATTTTTTAGCTTTGATTCGCTTTAAGATGAAAATGACAGTTATTCCGATAACGAAGGTCTTCGTGGACGTAAAACCGAAAAAGAAGGAACCGGGCTTGTACGCAAGGATTCACGTTCAAAGTCTTACTCAAGTGGGGATAAGGCATATGATACATCCCTTAGTACGGACATAAAACGTATGAAGTCCGTACACTTGGATCGCAAGCTAACCAATTCATCGAGCGCGAGGCTTGCTATACGGTCCAGAATAATAGAACAAGAGCAGCTCCCCAGTATGCTTCAAGATTTGAATGAATCAGAAAGGGAAAAATTGGCAAATGATCCATCTCAACGTCAAGTCAGAATTGTATATGATAAAATGCCGGAAACACATGTTCAGGATATGCAAAAGAAGTTTAATGCGAAAGATGAGGCAATAATGTTGGGTGATATATCGACCATCGTGGCCGCCGAAATGGCAGCATCCGGAAATGTAGCAACCGAAACAAAGAGGAGACTGCGAGGGCCTACACAGGTTAGGTTATACTTGTCAGAATTATCAGGTCTGGAATATTTTATTGTGAAGCACGCGGCCGTTCTGATTATGGAGCCGTTGTTGAAAGATTACTTTACACTGGAAGAGCTATTGGAACTGATCGGTTCCAAGAAGGCTACTTTATGGAACAAATTTATGCTATCAATTAAACCAGCGGAGAAAAAACCCGTCAAGAAGAAAGGTAGACATTTATTCTCCACGACCTATTTTGTTCATGCTAGTCAATCGTAATAATTTCATTTTTGGTCACATCTTGTATTATCTAAAAAATCCTAACCTCATTAGATGCAGTAGTGGGAGGTCTTTATATAATTTTCATGTGAATTTCCTTGGGAAGGCCATGAGATTTTAATTCAAATTAAAATTTCGTGATTTCTACTTTTTTTATTTTATTCTTCCCGAATTTTTAAAATCTTTTCATTTTCTAGGTACATTTGGGATACCCTTGGAAACACTTGTTGATAAATGTGGAGTTGATTCGGTATTGGGTGCGGGTCCTGTACGTATAAGGATACCAAGCTTTGTGGATGACAGCATTTCTTCCATGAAAACAATGGGTAAATAACTAATTAGCCAGTTGATACTTTTCCACTATTGAGGTCACACTTTTAATTTTGAAGGCTTATTATTGAAGATATGTCGGTCGAGGGTATCTTTCGAAAGAATGGAAATATCCGGCGCTTAAAGGACCTTAGTGAAACGATCGACAAGAACCCATCATCGGTGAACCTATCCGAGGATAATCCAGTACAGGTGGCAGCGTTAATGAAAAAATTCCTACGTGACCTACCGGATCCGCTACTCACCTTCAAGTTGCAGAGGCTCTTTGTAATATCTCAAAGTAATAAAACATTGTAAATTGTTTGGACCTTATTCTATACGTCTTTTATAGGATCAAATTAGCTTACTCGCATATTCAATTCCTTTCTGTGTGCATAGAGCTTGAGAAGGAAGCCGATCGAAAAAAAATACTGCATCTCACGTGTTGTCTTTTACCCAGGGTTAATCGTGATACCATGGAAGTACTTTTCATATTTTTCAAGTGGGTCGCATCTTTCTCTCACGTGGATGAGGAAACGGGCAGCAAAATGGATCTTCATAACCTTGCTACCGTAATCACACCAAATATATTATATTCAAAGTCGAAGGATCCGATAAAGGATGATTCTTTCCTTGCCATCGAGGCTGTTCACAGTTTATTGAAGTACCAGGATGAATTCTGGCTGGTAAGTTTCCTTTCCCAACAAATGTAGATACATCTTTTTACATCCATACATAGCAGACCCGTTGATATCATTTTATTTCAAAAGGTTCCCGAAGAGATCTTGTCGATACTAGATGATCAATATTTATTTAGCAGCCCCGAAAATCTGACAACCAAAGACATATTAAAGCGATGCGAGAACTTGGTCAAAAAGAAGACAGCGGATGATGATAACAGTGACAATGACAAGTACAGTTCTAATGATGGAGAAAAGTCTATTAGGAAACTCATATATCATGCAGATGAGGGTAAAAATAAAAGTTCCTCAAAACTAAATGGGAGCTCGTCATCTTTAACAGTTGAGACGCAGCCTGTTCCAGTTGAACGTGTATCGTGATTAATTGATCACGAATTGAGATACGAAGGACATCTTTTATTTGTTTGTAGAACATTTACATTTCTTTAAGCTGTAATTCTTATTATTTCGTATATATTTTTATCTTATATTATGCAACGAGAATACTGAAATCATTGGGGTCGGGAATTAGAAAGGCGATAAGGTAAGAATAAGAAATGCGGAACTGGTTTCTGTTAAAATTTTTATTGGTATTGGGTTTTGCATTTTTAATATGTAATTTTTGGTTAATTCCACACGCCAAACAAATTATTTTATATTCGTCTTCTTGTTTATACCAAATATCGTCATTTATATATATATATATATATATACCTCTATCCTATACATATATATTTCTTTTTTCCTTCTTTCTATTATATCAAAGAATGCAGCATAATTCATCCAGATATATTATTTATATATATATAACGATAATGAAAAATTCATTAAATTATTTGACTTGATCATTCACGCACGTGCGCAGCGAAAATTTCACCCATGTGACTGTAAGAGTAGTGATTGGTTGATCCGCATACCGTTGCTAAAAAAAAATTTTTTTCCAATAAAAAAAGAAAAGCACATATTACAGAAAAATCCTCTTTCCTTCTACAGCGAGAAGCGAACATGGTAAGAAATTTCGTTAAAAGTAGGCCGTCGAGTCAAATTCGTTAGGGATCACGAGTAAAAATGATTCCTGTCGTAATTGACACCATGGCTCTTCACGTTGTGAGAATTTTTGAAATGCTGAGCACAAGTCATTCTCGGTCAACAGGCCGACGATGCAGCTGCCGCCGCCGAACTAAAAAAGAAGAGAACTTTCAAAAAATTTTCCTATCGAGGAGTTGACCTTGATCAACTTCTAGATTTAACTTCAGAACAGGTAATGGTAATAAACCTCGAGTTGAACTCAATTTTCGATAACCAACTGATCTAAAGTTTCTCAATGAATAAAATGGCCCCTCGTCACCGTGAAACATAGTTGACTGATCTTGTTCACGCCAGAGCTCGAAGAAGATTTAATCGTGGTCTAAAACGTAAACCCATGGGTTTAATTAAGAAATTACGCAAAGCCAAAAAGGAAGCACCGGCGAACGAAAAACCTGCGGTGGTCAAGACCCATCTGCGTGACATGATCATCGTTCCCGAGATGATTGGCTCAATTATTGGTGTTTACAACGGTAAAACTTTCAATCAAGTGGAGGTTAAGGTAAAAAAAATCATGTTCCTTTGGGTAAGCTCAGAAGCGTGTACTCACCAAATGAATTGCATTTAGCCTGAAATGATCGGTCATTATCTCGCTGAATTTTCAATTTCGTATAAGCCGGTTAAGCATGGTCGTCCTGGTAGGCACATTTGGATTTTTTACGAAAACTCGAAAGATAATAAAAAAATTTCTTTTTAACCGTTTGAAATTATGAATTGATAGGTATTGGTGCTACACACTCCTCGAGATTTATTCCATTGAAATGAAGCAATAATGCAAAGACACTTTGTGTATTGTTCCGTGCCTGGCACATACGACCATCGAACTGGGCTAGTTCAATATCAGATTTGATCTCAGTCCTGCCGGTGGGATCTAAAATCAATCGTGTGTTTAATCAAATTTGGATCAAAGAAATTATATGTTTAATAAAACTTCTTTTTTAAAGTCGACTTTAACGACGAATATGTACATGTAACATGTTTTTTGTTGTAAAAGATATAAATCTGTTAACATGGTAATAAATAATATTTATAATAGATCAAGTTGTGAGATAAAAATAAGAAATTTATATACTTTCTTATATTTTTTAAAATAAAAGTTTCATATTTTATGAAATTAGGAATGGTGATTATAGTTTGTTTCAGGACAATTGTCATTAAATATGTTAAATTTTATATTGATCATATCTTTTAAAAGACTTGTGGATTGTACATTGATGCATTATCACTTGGTTTTCAATGAGTAGGTCATTTATTAACCAAATTAAAGTAATTAATGATTGTTTTGAATTTCCAGAGAAATTACCTGAAATTCTCTCTAATGGTCATATTTACTTGCTAATTCATCAAAACTTTGTTCGTCAACAGCAAAACCTCTCATGTAATCGACCTCCAAAGAATGAATTTTTGAGCCGACGATCACGAGTGAGTGTAAAGGTGGACCAAAATCCTGGGTCGACAATTGGGTCAAGGTGCCAGCTCTTATTAGCTGATCGGTCGCAGATCCAAGACGTGCTATACCGATCGCCAAAGATTCTGGTTCAAGGACTGATTTCGATTTTAAAATCGTGACATATGAATATCTATTTGAATGTATAAACAAGGACTATGGCATGAGATATTGGAAAACCTTGTTCCCCACGGTTTTCTTCAATCTCCAAAAGTTGTTGAATGGCTTGGTTAACTGTCATGTAACGCGGAGGTTCATAGATTTTCTTACCCCTTTCCGGTGTGAAGCATATCAGTAAAAATGGAAATGTTTGGTGTCACGTTTATCAAGCGTTCTGCACCATTACCTCGCTAGATTTTCGATACTTTGCTCTTTGACCTTTATGTCTGGAATTCATTTGAAAAAGATCGATTATGCTCAAACGATAACGCGGTCCCCAAGTCATCCAAGCATCATGATCTCACCTAACAAACATAGCGTGTGGAACCCCAAATTTTTATTTTCTTTAATGCGATCGTAAAAGCTATCTGGTTTCCAAGTATCAGTGAAAAAAGGTATGGAGATGGTTTGACCAAAATTATAGAGTTGTAATCCGCAGGCACCAACGGCATTCATTATTGATGCATTATGGATTATTGTGACCGGTACTTTCAACTCTCTTGCACGTAATACCAGATCGGTGTGTGTTGTCGCGCTTTGAGAGGACACGCAGGCAGTTAGGAGAAATTCGTGAGAATGGGAACATTGAATGAATTAGTCACACACCCGAATGGATCCCCCACGACCAAAAAAGCTACGTTCAAAGTGTCTGCATTCAATAATATTTCGTCGCTTTGGGATTCTACCTTTTCTCTATCGGCAAGGATCAATTCTCTACCGTAGAATTCTTCCTGAATTCAATGATGAACAAGCGCGCATGGCAATTCAGTAGAGTTCACGTTGTCATAGAATTGATAAGTTCGTTAAACTACCAATTTCTCCTTGGAGACCATCAATACGCTAGTGTAAGCCTCTAGATAAACCCTTTCGCAGGATTTAATTGCTTGGAGACCTTTGACGGTGACATCGGTCTCGTCGGATAGTCCTAAGCCTATTATGTAAAGCATCTCGAGGAAAAAAGATTAAATACGTAGGCCGTTGCCACGTGAAATGGTATCTTATCATGGCGTAGCTGTTATAGAATCTACTAATACTGTATTAGTAAATTATACAACATCCACTATTAAATTAAAAAATCATATTTCAAAAAAAAAAAAAAGTGATTTGATTTATTCCATAAATAGATTTATAAAGATTTCTTTATTAATAGAATCTCGTATTTTTAAAGACGCTCATCTACACTCATATGTCCTGTGAACCAGATTAAAATAAGTCGTCTTTCTTATTTGATCACGACGATGATGCCGTATCAAATATTCACCTTACGGGGGTTACTGACTTAAGATGGTGAGGGAACGTAAAATCGATCATCGACCAGAACCAATCATCTTAAAAAGATAGGCGTGGTTGATCCGCTAACAATGCGTTTACATTTTGCAGTTTCGACCTTGTAATGTTCTTTTCGCGACTAATTAAATGTCAACTTCTTTTAAGGAAATTTAAGGTAAAACCAACCTCAAATGGGTGTTCCATTCGGAATTTATTAGGTGACGCGCGTAGCTGCTCGGTAAGTGAACCAATTGACAATGGAGTCTACGACCTTCTTTTCCAAAGGGAGAGAACATCTTGGTTTATGGAAAACAATGGTCAAATTATGCTACATAGGTTAGACCTTTTGGCGATATATCGAGACCAAATCGAATACTTTTTTTCGGATCGGATGACTTTTCGGTTGCTTCATTGTTGGCGCTGATTGATGAAAAATGTAAGAAATCAAATCGACATCTGATTTCACGGAATTGAACTTTCGGTGTGCGATTGATAAAATCGGAAATATCTAGCATCGAATGGAAGCAGTTCTTTCATTGAATCGATCGAAGTGGTGGTGCCACCTGGTCGTATGACCGGAAGAGGATTAAAGCAATTAAAACAAAGTGCGCATGTTGAGGTTTTCCATTTGCACCGGGTAATCTCGTAAAATAAGATAACAACCCGTTTAAAATTAAACAAAGGTCCCGTCAAGTTGCTTGCGGAAAATGCGGGATTGATTATTCACGAGGCACCACCAAAAACTTTACAAGGTTGGGAGGTAATAGTGCTAATGTCACGAAATATTACATAGTCATGAATAGAAAATTGGGAGATTTATCGTCAAAAACTTTGTAAATTGTAATGAAAAGATTCCCAAATCGCGTGACTCGGTACGCTTTGACATAGGTGTGGTAGTATCATTTGGATACTTCTTACCCCCGAAAATCATTGAATCATTTACGAAAGGAGCTTTGAATGCCCATCCCTCGTTGTTGCCAAAGTAAGGGCTTATCATCGATTACAAGTTGATTACTTAATACTAGGTTTCTCACTTGTCAATTCCATTTAGATATCGGGGAGCGTCACCCATTCAATATGCGATATTGAATGGAGACAAAGAAACCGGAGTTACAATTCAGGAGCTTCACCACAAAACTTTCGATGCGGGCCGAATTCTCAGGCAGATGACTGTGGTTAGAATTCGATTCACGCACAAACTCACACCCTACGCAATTAAGCATCACACTTTTAACATTGATCTTATAGCCAATTCCTCCGCTTTCCACATGTTCGTCGCTGGCGTCAATCCTCGCGGCCGAGGCTTCCGAGTTGCTAGTTGATACCCTTCGACACTTTGATTATTACCAGGTAAAATTGATCTCGGAATTGTTTATTTCCGAATAGGGATAAATCGTATTTCAATGTTATAGGCGAATGCTCAAGAGCAAGATGAAAAACAATCAACCAAAGCCCCCAAGATTTCAAGAGATATGGCCTTTATTAAATGGGATCAAACCTCGTCACAAAATTTAGATCGATTACATCGCGCCATTTCACATCAGGTTTCAGTATTTTGTATATTCTAAATAAAGGGTTCAGTCTTAATAATCTTTCTTTGCGCATACTCAGTATCCCTTGACAACAATCTTCAATGGCAAACACGTTCAATTACATCAACTCTCCGTGCCTGCTCAAAGTGAGGTCGAAAAGTTTAGATCGCTAATAAGTTTACGACACCACGAGCCGGGGACAATAATTTTTGACCAACATGAATCAAACCTGTCATCGATCTATATCGTGTGTAAAGGTGACGCTGAGTTGATCGAATGCAAAAGCGTCAAGATGGAGGGTAAAAAGGAGATCCCGGTAAAAGATTGGATTAATGGGTATCAGATAGAAAGCGAAAAAATGAAATTCGAGGTTATCGCTAATAAATAAATAAATAAATAAATGAATGAATATTTCGATATATCCTACTATGTAGCACACCCAACCTCTTTCAGTAATCATTGGAAATTGAAGCAATCGGAAATTTTAAAAATTCCGAAAAAGTGATAGTTGCACATACACGTCAAATGCTCAATTGTTTCTATTTGTAATACTTTTTTATATTTTGACCATTATTGGGCTTTCACTTGATTGGCTGATCTTCACGCCAAATTTAATTGGTCTGTTACAGGATGTTTTTTTTTTTAAGGGGATGACCACAGACCAATTGTCGCACCAATTCCGTATTATGCAATTTGTTGAATTGTTGATTAATATTAACATTAAGCCTCTTTAGAAAAAAAAAAAAAAAAACTTTTTTCACTCTGAATTCATACAATTTTTTTTAGAAGAAGACAAGATGACGGCGAAAGAACAGGAATTTGACAGAAAACTGCATGAACTGCTTGAAAGGAAGCCACCCGGAATAAGTGCCTCAAAAATAAAGGACTTGACGAGGATCGCAATGACCAGTCCCAAGGTGAGTTGTGTTTGAGCTTGACAAAAAATTTTTTAGAGGTTCAGTATCATTTTAAAGACAAACAAACAATCAGAGGAAAAAATTGCTGGTCTTAAACTCTTTAGTAAAGTAGAAATTGAGTATTTTTCGCCAGTAAAGTTGAAAAATATAATGGGTCACATTTCGTTATGGAAATGATAAAAGAATACATATATATAATTTAATAAAAAAAAAAACTTTGTGCGAGAAAGTCCATTAAATTTCGTTCGTAAAGATAAAATTTATTTCCATAAATACACAAACACTAAAATGACATTGAAATTCTTTTGTTCATGATAATTTTCTGAATCCGAACCTCCAGCAATATAAAAGCATTGTGCACAGCTTGCAGAAATTCATTCAAAGGTGCGCAGCCGATTACAAATTAGGAGCATTATATGTACTGGACTCAATATCACAGGCAGCACAAAGGCAGAAGTCTATGGTGTCGGAGAAAGATGGTGATGGCATTTCTTCTTGGTCAGGTGCCGAGTATCTCGAGAGGTTTGAGAAAATATTGGAAGAAATGTTTGCGAACATTATGCAATGTCCGGATCACGATAAGGTAAGGATCTTGTGTTACGGTACATTTCTCTTAATTTCTTTATATTTGTCCTTTGCAACAAGAGAAGATCCCCTTCGTGCAGCCTGCGCAGAATTTCTGGTCATCATCATTACGAATTTCAAAAAAAAAAAAAAAAAAGACCAAAACACTGATTATACATCTTAAAAGATTTTGATCCATCAAAATTGAGAGTTTACAAGCCGGTTGTGCGTGATCAGGGTGCCATCAATCTAAATACAACTTGTATACGCTTATCATCTTTCGTCTCTTTTTCTTAAAAGAAAGAAAAGAAAAAACAAAAAAAAAAAAATTCAAAATCAAATCAAAAAAATCCCCATGTACTCACCGCACCGTCGGTTTATTAATTACTTTTTCACGCATCTTATTATTTGAGAGTTTAGTGGAATTTAATCCTTTTTTCTTTTCGTGTTATTAATAAAAAACAAACTCCGTATATATAAAAACACAGGAGAAAGTGAAACGTGTACTTGACATATGGCTTAGCAAAGATGATATTTATGACAAGGAGATGATTCGCAAAATAAAAGACACCTATTTTTCCCAGAGAGATGCAACCAAACCATTAGAAAACAATGTGTCAATATCGGCACCCACTACAGGTGGACCGATGGTTGGAGTGGTACCTACGTCAAGTAATGTGTCGTTCATAAATTGTTAATACAAATTCTTTGAGTGATTAAGCACAGGAAATCGTTATTTCCAAGTTAAGAAAAAAAAAAAAAAACAATAGATTTTAATGGATTATTTTTCTTTAAATCAGTTAACCCCACGCCTACCGTAGATCAAGCAGCATTGACACCGACAGCTCTAGATTCTTCAGCATTATTAGCAACTTTGAATAATCTAACCCAAGGAACTCTAAATATACCCTCTTTCCTGTCACAAAATCCAATAACCTCTGCCACATCGCAACCCATTGCCTTTAACAATGTTGCCGCTAACCCGATTCCGCAGCAGATGTCATTGCCCACTGCACCACAATTTACAAACGCGAACATGCCATCGTTGAACACTGTATCTCAACCTCCGGTATCTGCTCCCATGCCCGCGACCAATGGATTTTTGCAAGCACCCACGCCGTCATCATCAAATTACACAAATAATACCAACACGACCAATGCCAATCCATCTGTAAATGATCCTCTTGATTTTGATTACGGAGACATGGATGAGGATGAGGATCACGGTCCAAAGACATCTGCCCCAAACGGTGATATAATTAATACCGCTGAGAAAAACCCGACGGGTGCTATGAGCGTGCAGCCGGTAAATGTGTAAGTAAATGTTTTTTTCGAATAACGATGGAGATTTGGGAATGTGAATGCTTTTTTTTCTTTTTCTTCCAAAAAAAAAAAGACTTTCAAATTTTGCCCTTGAATGGATCTTTTTTCATTCAATCTTCAATTGTTTTACAAGATAATGGAATAGGAAAAGCGATAACATGTATCGACTATTCTATCGAAAGCATACACGGTTTCTAGCTGGTCACAGTTTATGTGGAGAAACCGAGATCAATAGAAATTATTATCAAGTCCTCATTGGGTCACACGTGATCCCATTGATTCCTTCTTGGGTGGTGGCTATGTGGATCCATGGACAATCATTCTAAATTTCTGTATTATTTTGTCTCTTTCACAGAAATCAACCAACCGCATCCGTAACGTCGATCGGAACTCAGGAACAGTACCAAATGGTGAACAATCAATTTGCACCGCCCCAAGTTTCGCAGGGTATCACTACCGATTCCAATCAATCGATTCCACCGACACCACCGGTACCACCCTCCTTGGTTTCACCCGGTCAACCACAAGTTCAATCAAATCAGTCAATGCCTCCAACTAGCGTTGCTCCTTTCAACTATCCACCTCCAACCCAACCTTGGGTAGCACCCGCGCAAGCTCAGCAACAACCGCCACCATCCAATGTTCTACCTTTACCTCAAGGTCAATATCAAGCTCCTCCTCCATTCCCCGTACCCCCATGGAACGGACAGCAAACAGTTCCGCAACCCCCTTGGAACTCGAATGGTCCATCTTACCCTGTTCCGCCCGCACCACGTCCTGGATCATTTCCCACTCAATTTCCCGGGCAACCTGGACCTCAACCGGGGTATCCGACACCACCACCTGGTCTTCCGAACCATCCCGTACAACATCAAGGACCTCCGGGCCCTCCACCTCCAGGTCATCCCATGCAACACCAAGGTCCCCCCGGTGCTCCACCAATGGGACATGTGATGCAACACCATCAAGGTCCACCCGGTCCACAACCTCTTGTCTCACCAGGACCGAGCCCTCAGGGGCCGCCCGGTCAATTAGAACAACCATCAATGCCTCAGTCAGAGGTTAGCATCGCGTACGAGGATCAAAGTATTGGAAAGGATTATATTAAAGGTACTCTTTGCTTTTATTTCATTAACAAGCAAAACGACTCTAATTTGGTTTTTGCTAATCTTTACCCTACTTCTTTAAATATGCAAAGTCTTGAGCAGAACTCTTTACGTTGGAAGCGTTTCGGAAGAAATTCCCAAAAAATTAATGGAAGAGGTCTTTGCTAAATACGGATCGATATCCACTATCACGGTATGAATGAGTTTTAAGTTATCTATTTCGGAATTTAAGAGATGGAATGAGTTGAATGTTGATAATTCGATGGTTACCTGAAATTTAGATTAATTACGAAAAGAATCACGCTTTTGTGAAGATGGATACACGGGCAGCCGCTTCACGAGCGCTGAACGGATTGAGGAGGAATGCAGGACAAAAGGGAAAACAGCAGTGCATCATATCAATTGTAAGCTTCATGTAAATAAGGTCATTCGCGTACGTTATACATTAGATTTTTTAATCTTGTTTCGTTGCAATTCATGAAGGTGCGCTGGGGAGTGGGTTTTGGTCCCAAAGATTGCTTCGATTTCGTGTCCGGTGAGTCATTGATTCCTCTGACCAGGCTCACCGAAACTGATCGCAAATGGTTGCTCACAAGCAAATGGGGTGGCACCAGCGGAAGGCCTGTGATTGGCGGGATTGTGGTAGAGGAACCGGACATTGTGATTGGCGAAGGATTTTCCAGTGGCTCTGGTAATAAAAAGTTAGGTCCACAATTTGAAAATACACGTGATAGACGTGGAGGGTACGACCGGGATGCGCGATCACCACGTTCATCAGATTCCAGGAAATTCTCAGATGCCTCTTGGGAAGGATCCTCGCCTAGGCGACCCAACAATCAGAAAGACATGAAGCAATGGTCCGAAAAGTCCAGTGATACTTATCAAGGACAATCTCAAATTTCAGAAGACTTTTTATTGGAGCCACAGCAACCTTACACGAATCAATCACACCCCGGACCGAATGTTCAAGACAATCGATTGCCATTGCAACAAACACAGTCAGATTTCAATTCAACTTTAACATCACAAGATCAGGCATTTCAGCAGCGGCAAGAGAAGTCCTCCACCCAACCATTTTCACACAAAAGAGAACATTTTAGTCCTCAGAAAGATGAACATTATCGAGAGAATAAAAGATCAAGATGGGATAAATAGGGTTAAATTAAGTAAGACTGAAAATGATTATCCTCTCGAGGACCCGATGTTGCCCGAACGAACAATTTAAACTTAAATGTGAGGCATGCTTCTGTATGTGTTAAAGATTCAGTTCCGTCGCCTAGTTGGTAGTTTTTGGATGGAACTTGTATATAGCAAAACAAAAAAAAAAAAAGTTTTTTATAGTTTTAATGATAATTTTTAATTTGCATCATGGCAAGTTTGTTCTCCCCTTTTTAAAAGAATTCTCTCTTCGAATCAGAGGCCAAGACGATAATAGAAGCCAAGTCGAAGGGCGGTATGGCATTATTATCCGTTTGGAGAGAATGCAACCTGCAAGGTTTTTAACCCCCCCAACCGACACAATAAATATAAAAAAATTTTAAATACTGTAAACCTTAAATTTATTTGAACGAAAAGCGGAAATGATTTTTACCCTATTTTTTTTATTTTATCTCTTTATCTCCGAACTTAAATAAATAGATGTTTCTTAGACAATCAGATTTTTGCAAATTTTTTATGAATATCACGTGTTGTTAGGCTTTTTTAAAATAAAGTGATACGCCTACTATTATTAATTTCTAATTTTTAATGATTTGCGTAAATGTACACAATGATTGACGTTAGTTAAATTGAATTTGTCAAAAATTACGTTGTAGCAAACAAATTCACTACAACGCATTATGAAAACTGTTCTCAAGACTTTCCTGCATATCAGTTAGACGCTCACTAAGTGCAAGAACGTAAGACGTTTTTACACTAACAATCAGCTAGTCGACTTGTTATAATATATTTTCCGAAAAAAAATAAAACAAAATAACATTCGGCCACACAAGAACTCTGGAAGTTTTGTGAAAGATGCTGAAGCTACTTTTATTTTTTTTGGTACTTGTATTATTGGGTATGTTTTCTTTAAAGTTGTTTCTCCAACGTTTTCATGAAAAGCAGTAATTGCGTACTAAACCTTGCATACATGCCTACTTTCATTCACCAGTTTTACTCTATTACCGTAATGCATTACTTTTAAAATTCCCCTCATTAAATCGACGCTACCAACGTCTTCCGACTATCTTTTCCACAAGTTCGTTTCAACATGATATTGAGGAAGGTTTGACCTCGGAAACTTTTGACCTTCAAGAGAATATTGCTAATGGGGACAGTCGTGCTGGACTTGAAGATTCTGAGGAAATCAAGCACATCATGAAAGTCGAAGGATTGAACTTTGATCAGGCGCGATTGCTCAGAATGCAGAGAAAATTTAAATCCAATAATATCGATCCTCTGACGGGATTACCGCGTGATCCAAAGTTGGTCACATTCTCCTGAGTTTGTGAATTTGGCGGTTCGAAGACATGTACACTTGATTTTCATTCACGAATTTCACGAATTGTATATTGTATATTTCATTGAAAATACTGTAGCAATACTAATGAAATTACATTCACTTATTTTTTTATAAATACCTACTACATTCTTTTATCGATTGATGTATCTTATCACAAAATATGTTTAGTGCGAATTATTATTTTTTAGTAGCCACCATCAAAAATGAATAAAATGATCATAAACTAAAGGATCCATTATTAACTGTTAGCTGGACGAAAGAATCAATTTTACATTCATTATGTATTCTTTTGTGATTACCGTGTTTAACGTTGCCCGTGTCCATTGCTATTTGCACATTTAACAGTAGGTCTCAGGTTTATTGCATCTTGTTGTATGCAACTTAAAATTTAATAAAAGTTATTTTTTAATTAATTTTGTTTTTATTTTATAAATTGATAAATTAAAATTATTGTAAATAATTTATTTATTTGGGTAATTATTTTTAAAGGTAAATCAAAAATTTTCAGGGAATAAATTTATTATTCATAATTACGAGGTATTGTATATTATTATTGTTTCAAAAATTTTCAAAAATTATATAATTTTGAATGGCACAACAAATTTAGAGCATCATAGTTCAAAATCCTAGTTGTTAAGATTTTTTTGGTTCTAAGTAACTATTTGAGAAAATATTAGAGAAACAACTTTTGTTAAGAATCCAAAAATAATTAAAATAGAAATTTCATGAGTAATTTCACTTTTTTTGTTATGGATAGAAATTTTTTTTGATAATTATTCAAAGTATAATAAATAATTTTTAACCAATTCTTTGTGTAAATAATTGAATCACATATAAATAATTAAATTAGAAGTAATCTACAATTGATCAAATTATTATAAAAAGGTTGTATTTTCCTTCAACTATGAAAAACAATCATTAATAATTATGAATAACCAAACTTATAATTATAAAACTTTGATTTATTTTGATATTTCTTTGATTATTTTCTTTTATTTTCTTTATTTTGTTTTTATTCTCTTTTATTTAATAAAAGCATCCTGTTTATAAGTCTAAATTGACACAACTCTTATTTTGCTCTTTCAAGACAATAACAATATAATTTATATAAAGTTCAAAATATAATTTATTTATTTTTTATTAATATACAGTATTTTTATATAATAAATAAAAATAAATAAATTAATTAATTAAAAAAAATAATAT